ACTTCTTCTACCGTGACACGAAGGTGCATGGTTCTCCACTCTACCACTGAAAATATAATCAGAAGTTGTAATGTTATAAAAATGTGTTAGTAAAATCCTCACTAGGTGCATGGTTCTACACTCTACCACTAAAAATATAATCAGAAGTTGTAATGTTATAAAATAGTGTTAGTAAAAATCCTCACTTACTTCTTCTACCGTGACACGAAGGTGCATGGTTCTCCACTCTACCACTGAAAATATAATCAGAAGTTGTAATGTTATAAAATAGTGTTAGTAAAATCCTCACTAGGTGCATGGTTCTCCACTCTACCACTGAAAACATAATCAGAAGTTGTAGTGTTATAAAATAGTGTTAGTAAAATCCTCACTAGGTGCATGGTTCTCCACTCTACCACTGAAAACATAATCAGAAGTTTTAGTGTTATAAAATAGTGTTAGTAAAATCCTCACTAGGTGCATGGTTCTCCACTCTACCACTGAAAATATAATCATAAGTTGTAATGTTATAAAATAGTGTTAGTAAAATCCTCACTATTTTCAGTGGTAGAGTGGAGAACCATGCACCTTAGTGAGGATTTTACTAACAGTATTTTATAACACTACAACTTCTGATTATGGTGCATGGTTCTCCACTCTACCACTGAAAACATAATCAGAAGTTGTAATGTTATAAAAAAGAAGCAATCCACAAAGTATCCAATTAAAATGTGATTAAATAAATAAGGCATTACTTCTTTGATTAATGTAGCATAAAAACCAAACACACAATCACCTTGCCACACTATTGCTAAGAATACATTTTCCAGGACAGAAATGCTACATTCACGTTCCTACACTATTGTAAAACCAATCACACAATCACCTTGCCACACTATTGCTAAGAATACATTTTCCAGGACAGAAATGCTACATTCACGTTCCTACACTATTGTAAAACCAAACACACAATCACCTTGCCACACTATTGCTAAGAATACATTTTCCAGGACAGAAATGCTACATTCACGATCCTACACTATTGTTACCATCTCTTTTTGCAGGAAAGAAATACCATAATCTCACTGCTACCCCTCGAGGTTGATTCCTGTACGTGGTGAAGGAACGACCTTCCAGCGAAGGTTCTGTCTCTTTAATTTACCTCCATTGGGATCCAAACATTCATCCATGTGTTTACCGTAAAGGTGAGGAGAGGTTCCGGGTGATTGAGGGGTGTCGCGTGATGGGTCAGTTCATATTAGTTGCACTTTGGCCGTGAATTCCTGTAGACGGGTGACCTTGAGGTGGCTTCACCAGGGTCAGTCGGCTGGTTCTGTTGGACTAGGGTCAACTAAGTACCAGGATTGGACATTCCCAACGGGTATTGTGGACATTGAGTTTGATGCTGATGTTTGGGTATAGTTCCAGTGAAATCCTGGCGTAGCTACAGTGTCATTCTTTGGCATTGTAGTGCATCCCCTTGTAAGGCTCTATGGTGGGTGGAGTCGGTGGGCACTGAATATTCTCCGTGAGCAGAGGCACCATTTTTCTCGTTGTTTACCACTGACATTAGACAGTGTCATTGTCGATGGTGGCACTGTCCAGCTTGCCTCGTGGTTTAAAACTGACATTGGACAGTGTCATTGTCGATGGTGGCACTGTCCAGTTTGCCTCGTGGTTTAAAACTGACTTACAACGCCAGCAACCGGGTTTCGATACCCGTGATGGGCAGAGCACAGATAGCCCATTGTGTAGCTTTGTGCATAAATTCAAACAAACAAACAATTAAAAATGAAATTACTGACATGATGAAAACTTAACTTTTCTTTCTGCACAACTTTATAAACCCGTTTAATACGTCATACTAGGAAATATAGCTGATGTATTGTTACATGTAATACTAGGAAAGATAGCTGATGTATTGTTACATGTCGTACTAGGAAAGATAGCTGATGTATTGTTACATGTCATACTAGGAAAGATAGCTGATGTATTGTTACATGTCGTACTAGGAAAGATAGCTGATGTATTGTTACATGTCGTACTAGGAAAGATAGCTGATGTATTGTTACATGTCATACTAGAAAAGATAGCTGATGTATTGTTACATGTCATACTAGGAAAGATAGCTGATGTATTGTTACATGTCGTACTAGAAAGATAGCTGATGTATTGTTACATGTCATACTAGGAAAGATAGCTGATGTATTGTTACATGCCATACTAGAAAGATAGCTGATGTATTGTTACATTCGCAATTTTTATCCTAACAAGAAAAAATAAACATTTTAATTTCAAATTATTTCGTTAATTAACTATTTCTATCGTAATAAGAAGAGGTAAACGTTCTTATCTTATGCTATTTCATTAATTAAATATGTTCTCAGTAATGAGAAGGGACAGAAAAACGAGTCTAATGAGATCCGGCATCGGTACCTCCCACGATTCAACGTTCTGGACTTCTCGGGATTGTAAGTTATATAGAACAGTACATATTAGTCTTACCAATAGTCACAAGCCAACTTTTCTTAGTCTGTTTTATCGTGTGGTTTAGAGAACTTTCATATTTTAATATCTTTTTCCCTTGATATCTTTTGTCTCATTGATTATTCTGAGCTATAAATGCTAGCATATTATAATTATTTCGACACATTATATATGTTGAATTGTTTCATATCTTGTGATACATCCATCCTTTCGGAAATGCTCATTACTTCTCGTAAACCTTAAAACAATAGCAACAAATCATACAGTTTGTAACAATTCTGAACTTTGAAAAAATATTGATATATTGTAGGTATAACGTAAGAATGCCCTATAAAAAATAAAACTGAATATTTTAATACACTGAAACAATCACTCGTTACCTTCGCTTTAGAGGTTTTGTTTTCAAGCAAAAACCATTATTTGGAAGAAAAGTATTTCTTCCAACTAAATACTTCATTCACGTACTCTTGTTCACGTGTCTGTTATCATGTGACTTGAAACGTCTACTAATTAACAGCTTGAAAATCTCGTTGTTTTCCCTTAAATTCTAACTGCTCACGAAGTAGGCATGTGAATTAAGAGATAGCCCCTTTTATTTATCATTTTGAGACCTTTTATTGAATAGTAGATAATTTTTGTCACGCCATACTCAATCGATAACGTTTCACAATATTAGGGAACTTTGTCAGTCCATACTTTCATTTTATACAACATCGTAGGGCTTTCTGATCTAAAGTGCAACACACCACCCTGCTGCTTTCAATAATCCTTCTATGGCGGTCTGATTGATTGTGATGCATACCTTTCCGTGTACATGTGGGTGATCTTTGTCACTGACTTTTTTTGTTGGTGGATTCTCACCTGTTACAAACGCTGCACTGTTTATCACAACTGGGATATGACTGTTTTGTACATCACTTTCTGTGTAGTTCTAGTACCTCAAGTTGATCCACATTCCTGTGTTTACAGTGCCATTAAGTACAAGAGATATTGCCGTCTTGGAAACTCTAAATCCCCAATTTGAACGTATCTTTATGAACAGAGTTTAGGAATATTTTGTTTTGAATAAGGTTTTACAAAACTTCCAGCTTCGGATAAGGCTGTTACATACCCTTCCCAAAAACGAACAATTTACGGTCACATTAAACTACCTACGAACGCCAAACAATCTCAAAATGTGGTTCTGATACATGCCACTCCACCATGACTTGTGTAAACTGTGGTTGTTACGTCACTTTTAAGTTGAATTTAAGAAAAGTTTGATGTGAAAAAATGCTCACAAAAGTTGATATGCAGTACAATACTTAAACATAAACATATCCTGTTTAAATATAAATATAATAGTACTGTCTGTTGTATGTATCTATATAAATATAATAGTACTGTGTTGTATGTTATCTATATAAATAAAATAGTAGTGTTTGTTGTATGTTATCTATATAAATACAATAGAACTGTCTGCTGTATGTATCTATATAAATATAATAGTAGTGTCTGTCGAATGTTATCAATATAAATATAATAGTACCGTCTGTTGTATGTTATCTGTATAAATATAATAGTACTGTTTGTTGTATGTATCTATATAAATATAATGGTACTGTCTGTTGAATGTTATCTATATGAATATAATAGTACTGTCTGTTGTA